TCTCGCGATCCCCCTCCCCGGGGAGGGCGGGGATTTGGCGACATCGCCGGCGCCCCCCCGATTCCCCACGCCGAGCGGCGATCTCGGCGCGCGGGGGAATCCGCGGGGGGCCTTACGCCGGGCGATCGCGCGCTACGCCCCGCCGCGGGAGGAAAGTATTCTACGACGGGTGGGGGCGGTGGTCGACCCCGGCGGCGCCGCCGCCCTCGCGCGGGAGATGCGGCGGGCCCTGCAAACCCTCAAAGGGGCGCGATTTGGGCGGGTTTTGGCGACGTGGAAGGCCCCCGCCTCGGCGGGAGGGCCGAGTTCGGGGGAATCGGCGGACTGCCCCCCCGTCGAGCTCGCGGCGGGGGTGGGGAATCGGCTGGAGCTCGTGGGCCGGCCGCGCTGCCGGGGGTTTATTCGATATGCGAGCGATGTGCAGGTCAATGAGGTGCTCGCGGACGGGTCGGTGGTGCGCTTGACCCGGCCGACGCGGCCGGATCAGGCCGACGACTTCACCCAATCCCTGCGGCGGCTTCTTGAACAACATTCAACCGACGGCCCGCCAGACGAAGGGGGGGGGCGGTCTTTCTTCATTTTGTGCTCTATCGTGAAGGGGTGCCTTTCCCGGAGGCGATCCACGACCTGTCGGGGGGGCCGTGGTGGGCGGACTTCGCGGCGAATGGCCACTTCGAGGACCGCATGATTTGCGTGCAGACCTGCAGTGCGCGTTTGGTGTTCCCGGCGAGGCGGGCGAGCCTGCCGGACCGCCTCGCGCACGCCGAGGGGGCTCTTCGCGAGCTTCTGCAGATTAATCTCCGTCCGCGGGCGATGGGCCTGCAGGTCCTCGGCTGGCGGGCCTTCCCGTGCGGCGCGCACCGCGCGAGGGGGGGCCACGTGCAGTACGCGATGCTCCTCCGCGGGATCGCGCGGCGGCGCAATCGGCTGGAGGCCCTCGTCCGGGGCTGCGCGACGGCGATCCCGAACTTCTTCGCCCCGGGGCACTTCGCGCCGTCGGGGCCGGGCCCTTTTCGAAGCTACGACGTCACCGCGGCCTTGGAGAGGGGCGACTACGCGGAGGCGATGATGATGATGGTCTGCCTCGCGCGGGGCGCCCCAACCACGGCGGGCGAAGTTCAAAAAAACGCGGAACCCCCCCTCGGCTGGGTCGCCCGCGCGATGGCGCTTTTGGAAGGGGAGGAGGAGCGCCAAGGGCAGTGGCGGGAGTGGGTGTTGACGGTGCCCCCGGAGGGGGTTTTGGCGTGGGTTTGTCAGGCCAAAAGGGATCTCTTGTGGAATGTGATGGCGAGCTGTCGAATCCAACAGCTCCGTCAGGGGGGGTGGAATACCCCGGAGTCGGTGATGCGCACCCCGCCCGAGCCCGGTGAGTTCGTCCTCCTTCCGGCGGATTCCCCCCCACGGGACGGCGCCGTTGGGCTTCCTTTCGATGAGCATCTGAACCTAAAGTCCGAGGCGGTACTTTCGGGCGTTTGGGGGCCGTCCGATGGGAGCTTTTTCTCCGCCACCACACAAACGACGGGTGTGAAATCCCCTTTGGGAAAAAAGGAACAACCTAAACGAAAGGTGCTCCCGCTCACCTCCGCCGCGCAGGCCGCGGGGTTCACCCTTCACGACCTCCTCCTCCCGCTCATCCACAGCGACGACTGCCCAGGCCTCAACGCCCTGGCAAGGCGCCTAGGGTTTCGCCATGCCGGCCTCCCCTCCATCGCCGGGGCGTTAACCCCCACGCCCTCCTCCTCCATTTCTTCCATTTCTTCGACCTCGGCGAAAGGGCGAGGAGAGCGAAAAGCGGAAAGGGCAAACCCCCTTGAGATGGTGGGGTTTCGCGCGCTTTTGGTGCAAACAACAGGGCGTGGGTCGGGGGTGTGGGTTCGCGAGTTCGCGGAGCCGCTGAGCGGGATCGGGGTGGAGCCACCCTCCCCCC